CTGCAGAGCCTCAAGCTAAACAGATGACAGAAACTCAGTGCAGTGGTTCATTTCTTAACCAACATTTTCAAATGTAAGAGGTCTACTGAGGGTTCCAAATAATAATGCAACTGACAAAGAAAATTGGTTGTTTCTGTGACACACAAAGGCAATAAAACCAATTTTAAAAAACATAGACGATATGGCCATGCCACCCTGAATGTGCCCAATCTTGTCTGATCTCCGAAGCTAAGCAGGGGCGGGCCTGGTTAGTACTTGGATGGGAGACCACCTTGGTATACCAGGTGCTGTAGGCATTTAAAAAAACAAACAAACAAAACGTAGACAAAATCTCTATAAGGGCCACAATTAAACCTGTTTTCAGAGAAAGCAGTGAATATTACATCTGATTTACAAATATAGACGAATACTTTTTATGCTCGTTAAAAATTATGGAAATTTATATTGGAAAAAACGACGGTATTTAACATATAATAATCTTGACATAACATACATCAAATTCAAGAATGTAGCAAAAATAGTAATGAAGCGATTTATTCAGTCTGGAGCAGAGCCACGACATCTTCTTTCTGTAAAACTTCACGTGTTGAGTCCGATGTGCGGCCTGGGGCTGGAAACCCTGGCCTTAGAAGGTGCTAGATTGGAATCCGGGAAGTCAGAACCCGCGGGGCTAATGTTGAAATAACACCTGACGTTTGGGCGGGTCAAGCACACAGGCCCGCGGCCCAAGACCTGCCCGGAAAGCGCCAGCAGACGGGGCGGCGAGAACTCCGCGCGGACTGTGACAAAGCCCGGGGTACTTCCGGTGGGGCCTGGGACGTTCACAGCGGTTTACCGGGCAGATGGGACCCGGGGAGGCAGAAGGCTCTCCGGACTGGCTGCTCCTTACGGCTCGGCACGTGGGACAACCCGGCCGGTCCTGGCACCCTTCTCTTCGCGAGGTGGGAGAGCAGACCTCGGGGGTGGGGGGGAACCCTAGACCCGGAGATCCTCCCGCGAGGAGCTGGGGCCGGCACGGGAGGGACTGTGCAGCCAGCATGGTAAACGGTTCTGCAGTTCCTCAAAATGAGAACTTGCGGCCACACGAGGCTCCCGCGCAAACGCTCCGGGCAGGAAAGGCCACCACCGCGTTTGAAGCGGCTCAGAGGCAGAAGGGGGGTCACCTTCGGGGAGGAGGTCCGGCAGGAAAACTGTCCTCATCTCGCGTTCTTGGACGTCTGATCTAAGGCTGCCTTGGCGGGGACTTGCGTTTAGCGTTGGCGCCCCACGTCTTTCAGCCACAGCCCTCCCGGAAGGGAAGGCACGTCCAGCTGGATGATTTCTCAAAGGGATCAGTCTGTTTTTGTTAGCTTAGGTTCCTGCTGTTCTCGCCAAAGGAGAGGGATGTGGAGGTCGGTTTGCAGCTTGTCTTTGGGCAGATCGCAACGCTCATACTGTGCTCCTGGCGCACTCCTGGGCCTGGCCCGGGAGGTGCTCAGGCCTCCCCACGGGGGTGGCTGGACTGTCCTTCCGAGAGGGCCAAGATGCTCAGGGAACTCTCCCTTTGCGGGTGGGGAGCAGGCCAGAAGCCCTGTGGAGGATTGGGGGGAAGAGGGGCCGAGAGAGGAGTTGCCAAGAGGATAGACCGCCCCCCAGGAAAGGCGGAGCAGAGCCTTCAAGGTCTGCTGTCCTAAATGCTTCAAGGACGTTGGAGGAGTTTCGCCACTCCAGCTGTGACAGCCCAGCTTGCCTCTGCTCAAACCAGAAGGACGCGGGCCCACGTAACCTGAAGCCCTAGCTTCATGCCCGGCTGCCGTCAAGGCTCTGCCTCCCCTGTCTCCCTCTGCGGGCCTCGGGGTGCCTTCCTTCCCCATGTGCTCCCTGAGGTCTGCAGTTCGTATAGCCCTCAGCATGGCTGACACACCCAAGACAGCTCATGGTGGATTCGGATTTGCTCTTTGGGGGTACTGCTCCCCAGTTCAACCGCCGTGGGCAGGAGATGGGCCCCGTTAGGTAAAATTTCACGAGGACGACGGTGCCAGCCCCACTGTTACACTGCGTTTATTAAGGGGACTTACACACCAGGGGCATCTTGGGCAACAATGTGGACACGGGCACCCTCTGCACCCCACGGCAGTTGTCCTAGGGTCCTACAGGACAGGGAAGGATGGACAAGATACTGGTGTCACCTGCCCTGATTAAGGGCAGACACCTTACCTACCTGCCTGGGGCCTGGGAGGGGTTGCTGATAGTTTCCAAGGGGTCTCCAGGAAGCGACCTCTGCTCTGACCCAGAGCTAACTGATCGAGCAGGACTGGACACGGGGTCACGCCACGAAGTCTTTCCCCTGCAGATTCCATGACCGCATCAGCTGGGTCACCCTCCCGGCTACAGGGTGGGGGCAAGGGGTCCTGCACTTAGCACCCCACCAGAACCCCAGAACCCTCGGGACCTTCAAGCCCCGAGGTGCACTGGAGAGAAAAGGGCCAGTGCTGGGGATAGGGGTACCCACGTGGCCCAGTGGCACGACAGGGTGGGCGTGGTCAGTGGCAGACTCTGGAATAGCTGATGACCTGTGCCCATCCTATGGCCAGGACCCAGCCACTCCCACACTCCCATTTCCTGGAGCTGTGAGAGATAGGAGGTCCCTTTGAATTCCATGAGGGAGAGGGAACCCCTTGGGGACCATTGTCCTGTGTCCCCAGGTCAGGCAGTAGGATGTCTGAACAGATGCAAATAAGAAGACATAACCGTTCTCACTTGTGTGCCATCAAACCGACAACCACGCTGGGACCTGCACCTGCCCAAGGACTCTGTGGGCTGAGCAGCACAGGATTGAGGGAAGGTGAGGCCCAACTGTTAGTCAATCGACCAAAGCCAGGGGGTGCCCCCGCACTCACTGGCTTAGTCTCAGGCCACACCTGGGAGAGGAGGCTGCTGGTAGCTGGACCCTCGCTGGCCCCTCTATGGTTTGAGAAACGGAGGGGACTGCTTATGGTGGGCCAGGCAACAGTGGCCTTTGTGGCTCAGGCTTTGCTCTCACCCAGGCGGCTGCCCTCTGGGATCGACACAGAGCCTTAGGTCCTGCCTTGGCCACGGCCTCCCTCTGGGGTCTCCTTCAAGTCCCCCAGCCCTAGGTCTGAGGGGCCCTTTGGGCAGGCCCATGAGCCTCAGAGTAACTGCCACCTGCTGTCCAGCTGGAAGTGCGGACGCCCTGACAAACGCTGGGGCAGAGCCAGCTCTGAGGGGCCCGGCCTGGTGGGCATCCCTGCCCCCGTGGCCAGCAGTCCAGGTCCTGTGCAGCATGAGCGGGAAGGGCGTGCTTGGCGGCTTCTTCCTCTTGTTACTTTGGCCTTTGTCCTGTTTCCTGCGGGGCACCAGCAGGAGGCCTGGAGACTTCAAAGGGCAGTGGCTTCCTTAAACCACCCACCTCCAGCCCTGTCCCCAAGGCCACTCGGCCCCTCTCTCTGAGACCATGCCTGTTCCTCAGGGTCTGGCAGCTCTGGGGCCCTGGGGCCTGGCGTGCCTGGCACACAGGAGCATGTGGGCAGAGGCTCCTTAAGAACCTTTGGTCATTGCCTAATGAGCAGGAGAGTAGGAAGGGACCAGAGGCTCCAGCAGCTCCAGCCCCAGGGTGCGGGGGAGGGGAGCTGGTGGGGGATGAGGATGTGTCAGAGGGGGGAGTGGGAAGGGCATGCCACCCTCACCCCCCACCTCCTCCCTCTCAATCTCCACCCGCCTTGCAGCTTCTGTAGCCCCCAGGCCCCTAAAGGCAAGCAGCCAGGTCAAGCTGCCCCTGCCCTCAGGGCTGGGCTGTATCAGAGCCACCTGGGAGACGGCCCACCTGGCGCTTGATGGAATCAGATCAGGAAGCCCCAGAGGTCCCAAAGGCCAAGGCCCAAGGGTCCTTCCCTCCCACTGGGAACTCCTGGTACTCAGCTGGCCCTGCCAAGGGGACAGGATGAAGGAGGTGGAAAACAGGCCTAGCCAAGGACCGGAAGCACCAGGGCATCTGTGGAAGGGGCCGGCCAGTAGGGCAGGAGCCGCTGCTCCCATGGCCTTGTGGCTGCAAGGGCTCCCCTGCAGAAGCGGGGCCTCTCCTATGAGACTGCAGTCTCGATGCCTGACCACAGGCTGGTGCCCCGCCTCCGCTGGGGATCCCCTGCCCCACCGCAGCCTGCATCTGCACGCACACTCGCACCTGGCTCGGGTGCTCATGCTGGTCTCTCTGCGGCCCTCGCTGAGGGAGAACCAGAGTCCGGCCCGGGCCAAGGCTGGTGCTGAGGCCCCACTCCCCACAGACGCAAACGAGCAGAGACCCCGGCTGAAGCCCGGGGGTGGGGGTCCAGGCCGTTCAGGGAGAAGGCAGCTGCTGCCATGTCTGCCTAAATACAGGGTGCAGGGCCTTTGGGGGTGTGACTACAAGAGCCAGAAACTGGAGGCCAGTGGCTCAGGGGAGAGGGCAACACTCTTGAGCAGAGGGGCCCTGAGACTGGCTGCAGCCTCATAGCTGGTCCTTTCTGAGTCCCACTTGCTAAGCCCCTTCTGTGCCTGACTTTGCAACAAACCCCTGGTGTAACACCTCCGAAGGATGCCCGAGGGAACAGAGCAAGCGGGTCACAAAGCAGGGGCAGCCCATTGTGCCAGGCCCTTGGGCCCGGCTGGCTCAGCCCATTTGGCTGGAGACCATGGGTAGGCTGCGTCGGGTGGGTACCACAGTGCCTCCGAGTGCCGAGGCCTGGGGTGCTAAGCCCAGACTCTGGGCCTTGGAAGCTGGCCTTCGGGCAGTTCTCAGGGGTGTGGGATAGGAGTCTGGGCTCAGAGGGCATAACGCCAGGACCCATGAGAGCAGCCTGGGATGGGGAGAGCGGGGATGGGGGGCGCAGGGGGGTGGT